TCTCAGTCTGCTTGGGTAGAGGCAGCACCTGCAGGGTGAAAGGGACTCTGCTTTCTGCTGGGTCCCTGGCACTTCCACAGGAAAAGCCAGAGCCAGATTTGGGCTTGGGATTGTCCTGATGCATCACTATTCACCCCCTGCACCTGAGAAAATGCCACACTGGGCAGAGTGATGGGTGGGACAGGGGTGGGTGTCTTTAGTCCTGTCTGCCCTAAAACCTCTCCAGCATGTATGGGCTCTGCTCGGTGTGAACAACACAAGGCACTTGGGGTGGATCCACAGGGCCTGATGCTTTCCTAAATGCACCAGAGCAGTCACCCTCTATGGCAAGCTTGTCCTGGTCCTTCTGTTACCTTGCAAGTGGCTGGAGCGAGGCCTCTCTGCCAGCAGCACACATGGGAAACAGTCAACTTTGGAAATCTGTCACCCAAGGAGAAAAAAGCCACTGGGCTGGGTTGGGGGGAGCCTGAGGCAGCTGCCACAGCAAGCAGAGCAGTGGCATCGTGGTGGCATCAAACATGGCACCAGCCAGCTCGGGAAACACAGCAAACCACTGTCTGCTTCTCCTCCTGTGCCAGGTTCAGGGCGAACTCTCCGGGAGACCGTCCTGGAAAGTTCGCCCATCCTCGCCCTGTTGAACGAGAGCTTCATCAGCAGCTGGTCACTGGTGAAGGAGCTGGAAGAGCTGCAGGTGAGTGTCACATCCACCTTCTTTGCAGCTGGTGCTGGTGAATGCAGATGGTGCTGGCACGAGGGGGGAGCTCAGGCCTGTGCCAGGGGGATTTCAGTTCCAAGCCCTCCCTGTCCTAGCGATCGCAGGGGCCAAGCAAGCACCAGATGGAGGCAGGTTAAGCAAATGGCACAAGGACTTCATTGTCGTGGTGCCAGTTTTAAAAGCTAAACCAGATGCTTCACTGTGAGATAGCTCTGCCCAGAGCTATTCATGCATCAACAAACTGACTTCTCTGTAAGCGAGGGAGCAACCAAATACTGTCTGAACCCAGAGTCTCCTGATTGCACCTTTCCTCACTTTTGAGTGGATTTCTGGGCTTGTGCTGTCAGCTGGGGTCAGTCATAGAGCTGGAGACCCTGGGAGAAGCTGGGATCAGACTGTTGGTGTGCCTAGGAACTGCCAGAGATGGGTTATTTTGTTGTTTGGTGAGAATCTACAGCTGAAATGCAAGAGGGAGACTGACTGAAAAGAATTTTGTAAAGCAGATGGTGCAACTATAGAACCAGTTACCACTGTCCTGCAAAGCAGCATTTTGGTTCCTCCCTTCCTCCTGCGTTCAGTGTACTCCTGCACTGTTCTGCTAGTTTTGGTGTATGCAGACATGTTTCTTTGGGTTCTCTCCTTACAGAACAACAGGGAGAATGAGTTCTACAGCAAGCTGGCTGACCTACACCTGGAGAAATACAACTTCCCTGTGGAGATGATCATCTGCCTCCCTAATGGCACGGTGGTACGTTGGTTACCCCTGCAGCTGAGCGTGGCTCTTCCCATTAGAGCATGTTCTCTTCAGGGTTGTCTGCAGACCCTGGAGTGAGTGTCCACTCCCGCAGCCATTCCCTGGTTCCTTGAGCCTTGCTGGGGCCATGGTCTCTCACAGTGCTGAGCACTCAGGGCTGCTGTGGCAGACAGCAACTGTACAAAAAAAACTGAAACAAATGTCTCCTTATACAGAGACAGAACAGTGGCAGCTCGGGGCGGGGGGGAACAATCAGACTTGAAACAATTGTCTACCTGCACTTCCTCACTGTCCCTGGCTGAAGTCACTGACCTTTGGGAAGCCACTGTAGCTTTCCTGCACCCATTGTCCCTTTTGCTCACGCTCTGCAGAAAACCTCTCCTTACCAGCACCTTCTAGCCCGTTTCTCTCTCTTCATTCCCCAAGCTTGTCACAGACATTAGCAAGTCCACACGCTTTGGCTCTGCTGGTTTTGCAACTGTGCTGCACCCAGCAGTGGCGTGGCTGGGCTGGCATCTCTGAGCCCTTGCTCAGAGCCAGGGTTTACTCCTGCATTTTTCCCAAATCACCTTCATCTTCTGCTTATCCTAAGTGAGGGGTCAGCACTCTTGGTTGGGGGAAGAAACAGACTGTTGTCTTTCCCACATTGTTCTCTGACTGTAAAATGCAAACCCCAATGCTGAATTAGCATTTGCAGGGTATTCAAGATTCTTTAGGAGTTGATCCAGTCTTGTCACCTGTGTCCTGGCTAAAGGCCAAGACAGTGGACGGGGAATTGTTCTGGCCCTTAAATTCTTCTCATCTGTTTTGTTTCCCAGATTCACCATATTAATGCCAACTACTTCCTGGACATTACTTCTATGAAGCCTGAAGATGTTGAAAGTAGCATCTTTAGTTTCTCAACCAATTTTGAAGACCCTTCAACTGCAACTTACCTCCAGTTCCTGAAGGAAGGACTGCAAAGAGCAAAGCCATACCTGCGGACCTAAAACCAAAGGCACCTGAATGCCCCACAGAGATGGACAAAGACTTCAGAGATTTACTTTGATTACAGAAATTCTTGTCTTTATGCCAGACATTGACGTTAAGATGCAGGCCCAGGGCTGGGGCTTTGCTCTGGATGTTAGTTTGAGGCAGTTTCAAGTGATACCAGTTTACAATAAGCTGTCCTTCTGAGGTCGGGCAGACTGTGACAGGAGTGAGAACACTTGAATCTATAACCATTCTCCATGCACACTCCTTGGTTTGCCACTCACCCTCCTGTTCTTCCAGCTCCTGTTCAGACTCTGAGGGGAAAGTCATGCACCAGCTCCACTATGTGTCACCCAGAAAGCCCTGACCTCAGGACTGGACTGTGAGTTGGATCCTGGAGAGCAGCATTGCCATTAGACCCAGCCCTTGTGGTATGATGGTGCAGAACCCAGCGCAGGTGGGAAGCTCCCTGCTGGCAGCCAGTGCCTTCCACACGCCCCTCCTGTCATGTACCAGCTCTTCACAACAGCATTTATGGACAGCAGTGGCCACCACTGTGTGATGGGACTGTGCTGGTCACGGCTAGATGTAAACGCAGGTGGAGCTGGAGCACGGGGCTCCGGCCTCCTCCCAGCACCGTGTGCCGTGGTGGGAGAGTGGTCTCCTTTATTCAGGTTCTCTGCATCCAAGGGAGGTGCTGAGGCTGACAGTGGAATGGAGACCAGGGTGTTAGAGGTACAGTGCAGCTCAGAGGCATGGATTCATCAAGGACTGGAGCAATAGGACAAGGGGTGATGGGTTTAAACTGAAACAGGGGAAGTTCAGGTTAGATATAAGGAAGTTCTTTATTGTAAGGATGTGAGGCCTCGGCGCAGTCTGCCCAGAGAAGCGGTAAATGCTCCATCCCCGGCAGTGTTCAAGGCCAGGTTGGACAGATCCTTGGGTGACATGGTCTAGTGTGAGGTGTCCCTGCCCATGGCAGGGGGTTGGAACTGCATGAGCTTAAGGTCCTTTCCAGCTCAAACCATTCTATGGTTCTATGATTAACAGGGGGATTAGGGGCCAGAGCCTTGTAGGATGTGCATTCCAGGCTGTGGGACACAGCAGTGAGCAGTGCCCAGCCCCACTCCCAGCCCCCAGCTTTGGGAGCTTTGCTCTCCCCGTGTCTCAGAGGGCATTGGTGAAATGCTCTGTCCGTGTTTGATTTGAGCTTCCAAGTCCCACTGAATGAGGAACCATGACGTTCCCTTCAGGAACTGCCCCAAGAGCACTGACTGGCTCTTTAGAACTGAGCAGTTCTAAAAGCCAGGAGTACTCATGAGAATTCCAGGAGTTTTCCAAAGAAATGATGTGGACAGAATGCCATTGTCACTTACCTGTAACCACCCTGAGCAGTTGCTCCTACTCTGCACCAATACTTTCCACAGAGTGAGCATAATTTGGAGCAGGAAAGGTTAAATGAAACGGGTTTCAAAGCCTATTCCTGTAGAGGTGAGGAGACAAAAGCATCTTCAGTAGATGGCTGCAAGCAGCCATGGCTGGGGATGCTTTTTCTGCTCTCTTGAAGCACAGTTTTGTTGGACCAAATCGCAGGGGGTGGGGGGGAACCCTTGGGTGGCTCTTTTGGTTGTTTTTTTGTTTTAGGAGGAGCTCAGGGGTGAGGGTTACTCTCCCTGCCCCAGCCCTCCTGTTTCCGTGGCTCCAGTCCGAGCGTAGGTGGGCCTCTGAGCTGAACCAGTGTAGCTCCAGTGAGATGAACTCCCCCTGGGCTGCTTCTCCGTATCGGCATTATAACTATGCATTAGCTCTGCACTTTTACCCACTCCAGGGGGCGGCGGTACTGACAGCCTGGGATCGGGCAGCACTTTTGGCTGCAGACAGTGCCACAGCCCCCAGGCAGCATTTGAGACCGAGCTCCTGGCCCTTGAGAAAACTCTGGCCTAGAGGAGCAAGTGCCTGTGGCCCTCCCCAGCCCCGCGTCCATGCCTCCTCCTGGCTTCTACAAGAGCTTCTCCTGAGATCTTGTTGCTGCCCCTTCCCCGAGTCCCTCGGTCGGGGGCTTCGGCCCTCGAAGCCGTGTCTGGCGCTTGTGCTCGGGGAGAGGGAGGGTCCGTTCCGTTTGTTGCAGGAGGGGCCGGAGGGAGCAGCGGCTGCGCAGCCCGGGATGGCTCTTGGCTGTCGGAGCCTGGCAAACC